TAAAGTAATTGTATTTGAATATCTAAAAGTTTTGTCACTATAGTTTTGTATATCATCCTCATGTACTATTGGATGTCAGGTCATTATTTAATGAGATCCTGAAATTTTTATAAAATTGCTATATTAGAGGTTTTATTATTAAAAGTGTTCTTTTAAAAAATTTAGGCCACAGTTTCTGGGCTTTGGGCTTTTTTTTTTTGATTGAGTAATAATAACAATAATAATAAAATAGTACCAAAGAACAATAAGACTAGAAAATTGCATCCATGATATATACATTAGACTTCTGACTAGAAATCACAATAGTTACTATGTGTAGAGCATTTTAAAGTTTACAAAGCATTTTCCTTTTCATTACTCTTTGAGATAGGCACGGGGTAGTGGAAAAGGATTTGAAGTCTGAAAATTGAGCTTAAATTTCTTTCTGCTATTTGCTGACTGTAAGCCTGTGGGCAAATCATTTTACCTCTCTGGTTCTCAGTTTCCTAATCTGTAAAATAAGGAAGTAAGAAGTAGACTAGATGGCCTCTATGTTGTCTTTCAATTTTATATCTATGATCCCGTGATCCCCATTTCACTGATGAGAAAACAGACTTAACAGTCTTGGCAGTGGTCACAGTGGCAGAATCAGGATTTGAACATATCTTTGGACTCCAAGTCTAGTACCTTCTTTGCTATATTACGTTAAACTAGGCAGGCATGGTTCAGGATAGCCTGGCACTTTCTACATCATCATCATCATCATCATTATCATCATCATAACAATAATCATAATACTTAGCATTTGTTTAGTGCTTTTAGGTTAGCAAATATTGCATGTTTGCTTTCAGCTTTACAAATATTGTGTCATTTAACAACCCTGACAAATTGATGCTATTATAATCCTCACTTTACAGATGAGGAAACTAAGGTAGACTGTGGCTTACTCAGCCACAGTAACCCTACTTGGTTAAGTATGTAAGGCTGGATTTGAACTCAGGTCTTATGAGATTAAAAATATGACAAAATAAGAAAAATATTAATATATTATAGTCACATAATTTATCAAGTGAAACAATACCTTTCTTAAAAGTATTTTATCTGTAAAAAAATATGTAAAGAAAGATACTTTACTATGAGGCTTGTTACTTTGGTAACGATTCTGGGTTCTCAGAGACTACACTTGAAGAAAGCAATACCAGTCATCTTCTCCTACACTGAGCTTTGAGTGCGACCATGATGATGAATTATTAATCTCTTGTCCAAGGACCAGCCTAGTTAAATCAAGAGAGGTTGTTGCCAGATGGTTAGCTACCAGACAATTAATTTTTTTGGTTAGAGTGACTCATGAAAACATATACTAAGGTGTGGGAACAAAACGAGATCTGTCATAGTGAAGGAGGCACATGTGGATGGAATCACGATCTCTGAAGTGTTTGAAGCATAGGACAACTCTACTAACTACTTTCTATAATACTTTAAAAAATGTGATCTCCCTTGAATTTTACTCAAACTCTCCCATTACCCCAGTTGAGATGATAATAACACTGCCTAGTAAGTAAATTTACTCCAAACCTACAAGTTTTTTCATTACGAAGGACAAAGCTAGAAGGCAGTTATTATTTGTAATGTATTTGTTCACCTCACAGGAAGTTTGTGTGTGTGCTATTGCTCGCAACTGTTGCTAGAAGTGAGGATTTGGATTTTACCTGTAGCTTCTTCTTCAGGAATAGCTATTGTTTTTCCCTTCTAGTTTCCTCCATCTTTTAGGAGCCAGAAAGAACAGGTAATTAGGCAGGGATGGTTTTTGGGTGAGTAGTAGAACTGGGATACTTGAGGTCCATTTAATGTAGTACTGTGGTGGGGGAGAGGGGAAGCACTATGCTTTATGAAGAGGGAGTCACCAGAAGAGGCTGAGATAGCACCTGACTACGTTACTCTTGATAATCTCATAGGTATCATCTCAGCCTCTTCCCCATAAGCTTCCAATGGCTCCTTCTGGCACCTCATCATAGTGTTACATTAGATTGCTCTCCAGTGACTGCCTGTGAGATAACCAGAGTAGCATTGCCTAACTATTTCTGGAAAGACTTTAAAGGGTTCATGAGGGAATGAATTGCATTTAACAGGAACAGCTAGTGGTGGGAAGGGAATGGGGTAGACTTAGGTGGGGATTACTTCATACCTTTTACCTTTGAGGCCAAAATACATGTGTGTGTGCGGTGGTGAGGGGAAGGAGTTGCAATCCCTTACCAATAAAATCTTTGGGTGCACCTGGGAAAATCAGACACAAAAGATTAGAAAAGGAAGTTGAGATTTCAGACTCTGCCCAAGAGCTGACATCTAACTGTACTTTGTTCATTTCAATTCTGCTTTAGTAAGTGGACTCTGATCTACATATGAGGAAGTGATTCTTTGGATCATGATGATTTTGGGAGACTAGAATCTCAATGGGATGATGGCAAACTAGGAGAAATTTATGAGTTATCATTTGAATAATACTTGCGCCTAGATAGAAAACTTGGGAGAACACTGGGAAAAGTTAAGGTTAGCGGAAAACAAAACAAACAAATAACCCAACTACAAAACTGCTGTTTCATGCATGTGCCAGGAATAAGGTGGTATATAGTTGAAATTTTGCATACTTTCTGGCCAGATTGTAAGTTAGTTGAGGGCAGAAATTGTCTTTTGCTTCTTTTTTGTATGTTCAGTGCTTAACACAATGCCTAGTGCACAGTAGACACTTAAGTGTTTATTGAGCAATTTATTGAGTAGAGTGACCCACAAGGATGGGTTTTTCTTGTCCACTGAGCTTAGAGCACCACCTGGTGTTGAAGTCATATCTAACATCCTACATGGTCAATCACATCAAACCACCCGTCATAGTGCTATTAATAAATGAAATGCTGCTTCTGCCCTTGTCAAAGTGAAACAAAGTGCTTCAGAATATTTTTTTTTTGTCAATTGTGTGACATATAACAGGGCAGCAAAGAATATTAACAGATTGATTTGATGTTTGTTTATATAGTTCTACTCATCTTCTCACTGGCTGAACTTGAACAAAGCCTTTAAAATTTTTTCCTCTGATTTTTCTCATTTACTTTTTGGAAGTATGAATTAGGTCTGGACAGCTGTCACCTGGTTCCTTCCACTTACTATTAACAACCTGATTTTCAGTTGCATGGTTTCTTTTGTCATAGTTTTTAATTCTGGTCTCACTCACCCATAACCTCTTATGTCAACATACAATAATACAGGAAGTCTGGTGCTGGCTGTGACATTAGAGGACCTGGGTTCCAAGGCCACCCTTGATCCTACCTCTTTGACTTTGGGCAAGTCACTTAACAGCCTCAAGCCTCACTTTCATCATATGTAAAATGAGGGTGTACATGTGGTTGGAAGTGACCCTAGAAATGGCCAGGGCTATGAGCTCCAGGTCTATTACCCTATGAGGTCAGCCCAAAGAATAATTACGCTTCTCAGCCTAAGCCCTTCTCACTTCCTAGTAATGGTACAGTTCTTTTTAGTATTCCTTATTCTAGCCCTGACAAGTGTCTTCCTTGCCTTAAGTACTGCTGGTAGTCCTATATGATCCATTTGTTTCCTGACCCCAGTATAGTAATGCTTCATCTATTTGTCATTGTCTGGAGAGATGAATTTTGTTTCAGGTAACTTTTATTTTTAAGGACCAAGGCACTTAATTTATTTCTACTGCTTTGTGTGGAAGTTTTTCTAAAATATATTGTATACTTCCTCGTCTTCTGAACATCATTTAAATTCTGGGTTTTGGCTCTGTTCCAAATAATTATGATAGCCGTATTTTCTAAACTTAAAAATCAGGACATATGATCTGAGAAAGGGATATTCCCTTTTTGCGAAGGCTTGTTAAGTATATATACATTATTTTCCTAAGATTGGGACTGCCCTGGAAAATCTCAGACATGTGATTGCCATATGGTTTGGGTGAAGTTGAGAGAGAAATGATCTCTGGGCAGGTAAGGTGTTACTGTTCCTAATAACATTGACATGAGGTCTTTTCAATCCTGATTCCATACCCATACTTTCCCTTCTAGGGACTTACCCTTCTTTTGTCAAATCAACCAGATCTAGTCTCCAGTTCTCTTTCCCCATTGACTTCCTGATACCATCCCTCCTGGACCTGATGTTTGTTTCTTCCTTTGCCCCAATTTCCCTATAGTAGAACCATATCCTTGTTCCAGTCGTGTATATGTATGTGTTTACGATATGCACATCCCAGTTCTGGCCCTACCTCTCAACTCTTAATTGCAAATTTCTAGAAAAAGTTGTCTGGACTAAATGTCCTCACTTCTTACCACCCTTCTTAACCTTGTGCTTTGGAAAAGGGATTTCCCTCCTTCCCCCTACTCCACTGAAACTATTTTCTTAAAGATCACCGGTGATTCAGGCCTCCTCCTTGACTTCTCTGTGGTTTGTGATTGTTGACCATTCTTTCCTGTTGGATAGTCTCTTCTTTCTTAGTTTTAAAAACAAACTTTCCTGCTTATCTCCATACTGCCTCTCTTAATTGCTCTCTCTCTGCCTCTCTAACTGGCCTGTCATTCTTTTCCTGGTTTGTCAATAACAGTAACCAAAGCCTAGTGTTCTGCCGTTGGCCCTCCTAGTCTCACTCAAAAAAACCCCATTTCCCTTTCTGGTCTTTTATTCCTATTGCTGTAACTATCCCCTTTGTTCACAGTGCTCCCAAACCTGGAGTTTTGTAAATTTGTGTCAGTGTTGTATGCATGCACTTGCTTTGTTTATTAAACCAATGATTACCAATATTTCAGAATTCATCATTGGGAGCTGTAATCACCCTCTCCAGTTGAAATCATTATTATAAATTTTGTGGTAAGAATTTGAAAAATTTCAGTAAACTCCTTGAGTCAGTAGAAGACATTCTGAGATAATGAACAACAAAGTCATATGAACAACAAAAGTGTCTTGATTTGTATGCTGACTGCATGAAATAAATTCACACGTCTACATTGTTTCTCTTTCAGACAAACAGACCCTTAAGAATGATGACCCAAACAAACTGTACCATGTAGCACAGGAACAAGTGAACTGCTAGGTAATGGAAAACTCTCACTGAAACAGAGCGTTGACATCTAGGGGAGCATTGTTAAGGTGTAAAGGAGTGAGACAAGCTATACTACAGAACACTTGAACTTAGATTTTCAAATTATTGCCATTCTGTCATTTTTTTGGAGGGGGGGGAGTGAGGCAATTGGGGTTAAGTGACTAGCCCAGGATCGCATGGCTATTAAATGTCAAATGCTTGGTGTGAGACTGGATTTGCCCTCGGGTGCTCTTGACTCCACTGCGCCACCTAGCTGCCCCAATTATTCCATTCTGAAGTAGTCTCGTTCTCGCTGCACCTTTGGCATGTTGGTCAATATTAGAGCAGCCCAGTCTGTTCCCATTAACAATGGTCTTAGGAAGGAAAAGGATTACTTGTTTTTGGAAAGTCTATCCTACATGGATCTTGTGCCCAGAGGACTCTACTGATTCAGCATTCCCCTCACCATTTTTACTATTACTACTTCATTTGATAGAATCATAGAGAGCTAGAAAAGACATTACAGGCCAAGGAGTCCAATCCCCTCATTTGTCAGTTGTGGAAACTAAGGCCCTAGAAGGTGAAATGACTTGCTTAAGGTCATGTAGATAATATCTGCTGTGTTTGTTAATTCTGAGGGTTTAGATCAGCCTAGGATCTCTGCTGTGTTTGATAGTTTTGGGGATTTAGATCAGCTTGGTGCCTCCCAATCACCATGAGATATCTATCTAATAGAAACCCTGCCTTTAGAGTCTGAGAAGCAAACCCCTTAATCAGTGGAGCAGGGTGTAGATCTGAGCTTCTCTGATTTCCCTGTGGTCACAGCTGAAGGGAACTGTCCTTAACCATACATAGGCACCAGAGGAGGTCCAGTGTAGCCCCCTACAACCTAAATTCCAGGCGTTTAGCCCCAATCAAGTAACCTTATGGATGCAGTGAGTCCAAAGTTGTTGGACTCATTCATTGCCTTTCTGTCTCTCTTGGTCAACTAGGTGAAAATTTAGTTTACTTTGGGCTAATTCAGATAAACCAACTGCATAAAAACTCAGCTTAATTTGCTTCCCCTTTTCACTCCTTGGGCAAGGGTGGGGGTGGAGGGTAGTGGAGGGTGGGGGTGGGGTTATTGTAATTAAACAAGTGGATCTTGGAAAGATCCAACTCTTGGAAAGAACATAAACCAGTTAGCTTATTTCATAAGACCTTAGAAAAAAATGTAATGTGGGTGAGCAGAGTGGAAATGATAGTCGGAAGGAGAACATGAATAAAATACTGGTTTTTCTTCTTTAATATAAGATCAGGGAGCAAGAATATATTCTGAAAGACTGCAAACAATTGTTAATTCTACACTAATGGCTGCCTTGTTTAATAACCTAAGTACCATGCACTGGGAAAGTCCAGTAGAAACATTAGATTGACATTGGTTTGAAGGCTAGTCTGGATTAGTAAAATATCTGAATTGCAGATGTATTAAATGAAATTTATCATTTCCTAGTATAATCAGTCTTCAGCCAGACTAACAAAAGTGTTGACAAGTTTACTGATCTGCTACAATGAACAGATTAGCATATGGGTTTTTAGCATGTAAATTAAAATGCCTTTTTTTAAAGTGGATTAAATTCCATAAACAGGAAAACAAAACCCCAAACTACTCAATTTCTGTTCAAATGATTATAAATCTAAAATAATGAAGGTTTCACTATGATTAACAGTTTGAGACCAAGTTATTGTCAGGCACTTGTAGCTATAAATAAATATATACGCAAGCTCTAGCCCAAATTTCTTACAGCATTTTGGTCTATACCAGCACTTCTTAAACTGTGGGTTGTGAACCCACATGGGTTTCCTGTAACTGAGTGTGGAGGTGACAAAAAATCTGGCAATAGTAAAAAGGTTTCTGAATGGGCAATGACCAAAAATTAATTCAAAATCAAATTTGTAATGAATCTGAGGTGTTTCTGACAGAGCTTGCCTGTGTTATGTCATGCCACTTTACTGCAGCCTTGCTTCTGAACACACAACATACCTGCTTTGCACTGCACGTGCCATCACACCATGCTAGGCCAACAAACGCTGCCAGAAACACCTACGCTCAGATTCAAGACTACTGCCTTTGATAAATGGTAAAATTATATGTATACCAAAGAATTGTTTTTTAAAATATTTTTATTATTAAATTAATTAATTTAATTAATTTAATTAAATTTAAATAATTTAAATAAATTTAAAATAATTTATTATCAGTAAATTTTTGATTTGTATACCTATTTTATACACCTATATGCCCCAGGATCGTGTAAAAATTTCTCAGGCACAAAGGGGTTGCAAGTGGAAAAAGCTTAAGAAACTCTGGTCTCCACTGGAGACCAGCTCCAGCTTTTTTTCAGCAGCCCCATAAATGGAAAGCCCCATCTCTCCTTTGCTGTGTCCTAAGTATCTCTTGAATTTCTCCCAAGATTGAGAGCTCCAAAAGATCTTAGAAGCAAGTCCTCAGATATTCCTGGATTTTGCTCAGCACTGAATGATTAATGACTGAATGAGTGAATGAATGGAGGCTTCTTTTTTAAAGAAATTTTGCAGAAGCAGTAATTTTCTTATTTTTTTTTATAGGAAAGTATGATGACTCTATTTTGGTTTGCTTGCTTCATAGTTCTATTTATTTCTTCCCTTGAAGCTGGTAAGTTAAATAAGAATTTTTTTTTCAGTGTGTATCCTCAAAAAAAAAAAGACTATAAGTGTGTTTTAGAAGCAAAAATTCTTTTCAGATTTTTAAAAGACATGTTTCTGTAATTATTGGCTGATGAAACTGCTTTAGGTATGGTTATTGTTTTTAAACAAAAGGATGATTAAGATACACAGATTTTTTAAAAAAATTAAGAAACACCATTGCAGGGAAGTTGTACTTGCAACTTAATCATCCAGCAGGAAAAAAAAGAAAAAGAGAGAACAGAATTTAGTGTGGGTGATTTAACTCTCCATTCCTCTCAACTGATGTCCATAAATTTGCTTTCCCCATTCTACTGCGATTTAGATCCTAGGATCATAGATCTAAGGATTGGAAGAGATGTTACAGACCTTTCAATTCTTTCATATCTTTCACAGTGTGATCCTTGAGTGTGAGTCTAGGTATATCATATCCATAGTTGGTTCATTTTGTTTAGGCTGGTAGAATAAAAAGGAACCATCTTAATTCGCCTCCCAAACCAGTGTTACTGTTGTTATTGAGTTGTATCTGCCTCCTTGTGACCCCATTTGGGATTTTCTTGGCAAGATACTAGAGTGGCTTGCCTTTTCCTTCTCCAGCTCATTTTACAGATGAGGAACTAAGGCAAACAGGGGTAAGTGACTTGCTCAGGGTCACACAGCTAGTAAGTATTCGAGGCCAGATTTAAACTCAGAAAGATAAATCTTTCTGATTTCAGGCCCAGCATTCTATCCACTGCACCACCTTGTTAACCTTTATTCTCTACCAATATAAGGACTCTGTTGAGTTTTCTTTGGCTTCCTTATGTCCAGTCTTGCTCCATGGCAACTAGGTGATGCATTAGATAAAAGTGTGGGATTTAAGAGTCAGGAAGACCTTAGCTCAAATCTTACCTCAAATACCTTCTAGCTGTGTGGCTCTGGGCAAATCCCTTAGCCTGTTTGCTCCTCTGTAAAATGAGGAAAATAATAGCACCTCCCTCACAAGGCTGTTTTAAAGAACAAATGTAGTAAGGTAAAGTGCTTACAAACGTTAAAGTGCTATATAACTCCTAACTTATTTTAATCATGGAAATAGCTAGCTGTGCTGTGTGTAAATTTGTTTATTTTATTTTGTTTTTAATTTCAACACAATTGACTTCTTTTGTAATACTGTGTATTTTATTTCATGTCTTTAACATACTCTTCAGAGAAGGGGTCTATAGGCTTCACCAGACTGCCAAAGGAGAGTATGATGCAAACAAGGTTAAGAATCCCTACTATAATACAATCCTACTTATGTTAGAAGCCCTTTCAAGAGAATCCCCCCCCATCATCACTTTTTCTACCAGCTAAGTCTTGCCCCCTCCCCTTTTTTTTCCCCATTTGAGTAGAAGCCCTGGTTCCTATTTATCCTGGCCAAAAACTTAGCTGGGCATAGTGAAAAATAAAATTTACAGGGGCAGCTAAGTGGCACAGTGGGTCTCTATCCACTGGCCCTGAAGTCAGGAGGACCTGAGTTCAAATCTGGCCTCAGACCAAACGCTTGACACTAGCTGTGTGACCCTGGGCAAGTCACTTAACCCAATTGCCTCGGGGAAAAAAAAAAGAAAAAGAAATTTTATATTCATTCTCTCCCCTCCCCCCCAATAGCAACCATTATAGATCCGCCTGATCTCTAACACAGACTACTTTCATTTTAAGAAACCCTAGCCCTTTTCTTCCTCTGTTGTTATTGTTCACTCGTTTCAGACACGTCCGACTTTTCATGATGCCATTCAGGTTTTCTTGGCAAAGATACTGGAGTGGCTCCACTCCTCCTGATGGTTGCTGGACCTGGATGCCTCTGGAGGAGAAAGTGAGGCTGGTGACCTTGCAGAGCCCTCCCTCAGGCAAATCAAAGTCAACTGCAAGTCATGTCATCACCTCCCTCTTCCAGAATGAAGGACAAACATAACAACAACTCGAGTGGCAGCCCCAATTTCTACCTAGAGCTGTTTAAAGATACAATACTATATTTTGAGTGGCAGTGTTATGAAGTAGATAGCTAGTTTTGGAGCCAGGAAGACCTGGCCATGTGACCTACGGTAAGTCACTTGACCCCTGAGTGCTCTAGGCTAAAAGTTTCACATTCAAGACCCACAAACTTCCCCAGCTGGCAGCAAAAACTAGATTAAAATGTAATTGGAAAATGTTTAACAAAATAAATATATAATACAACATAAGTAATGTTAATTTGTGGTTTTCTAAGTCACTATATAGGGATCCATTTCTATTTCAGTTTGACATCACTTCTTTAGGCAAGGTGGTGGTTCCCAACATTTTTTGTTCTTCAGACTCCTTTTAATAACAACAAATAATAATATGCTCCTTATAATATTCTGTAATTATTTATTGCTTAAGGCACCATTAAAGATTTTTTAGCATGAATAACTTGTACCATAATTGCAAACCTCAAAGGGGGTTGAGAACCACTAAATGGGAACCATTACTCCAAGACTAAATTTCAGAGAAGGTGTAGACCCACATTGAAAGAAAGACTTTTCTTCCTAGGAGCTTCTTATAAACAACAAAATCACAGGTCTAATTCCTATCCCATACCATCCTTTGCAGGTGATTTAAGAGTTTTTCTTTTCTTTTTTTGGGGGGTGGGGAGGCAATGGGGTTAAGGGAGTTGCTCAGACTTGCTAGTCTGAGGCCAGATTTGAACTTAGGTCCTCCTGACTCCAGGGCTGGTGCTCTATTCACTGCACTACCTAGCTGCCCCTAAGGGTGTTTTCAAAAGTAATTTTGACTCTTCTTTAAAACCTCACCATAGTATAAACTGGGAGCTAACTGTATAGATGAGCTATGTCTTTATTAGAGAAGAATCATTTCATCCTTAGGGTGAAGGGAGGCAGTGATTGAGCAGTGATTTTACTCACTCCTTAATTCTTAATTGAAAGATGAATAATATGAGTGTGTAGGTCTTCTTTTGCATTCTGAACCTCAATTTCCTCATCTATAAAATGCAGAGGTTGGATTGAATGATTACCTAGCAGTCTTCCATGTCCTGAGGAACTTATTTGGCTTATTGCAAAGAGTTCTCAGGCAGTAATGGTTTTTGTTTGTTTCATTTTTGTTTGTTTGAGAGGCAGTGGGGTTAAATGACTTGCCCAGGATCACATAACCAGTAAGTGTCTGAGGCTGGATTTGAACTCAGCTGCTCCTGACTCGAGGGCTGGTGCTATCCACTGCCTCTCCCCCTTTTAAATAGTGAATAGATTAATGTAAATATTTATAGTAAGAGTGTAGATTTAGATCTGGAAGGTACCTTAGAGTTCATGAAATCTAATCCCTTAATTTTACAGATGAGGAAACTGAGTACTAGAGAAGGTAAGTGACTCAACAGTTTAGTGCCCTGGGTGAGATTCAGACCCAACTGTCCCTGATTCCCAGTGTTATACTCTCTCTGCTATACTATACTTCCTTTTATGTAGTAAGCTTTGAATGGCATAATCTATAATTGGACATTCTTTTTTTGATTTTTTAAAAGATGATTGTGTGGAGTTTGAAGATGAAATAGTACTAGTTATTTTTGAAGATGAGCTCGATGTTCATCATGGTAGTTCGAGAAAATTTGGCCCTCCCAGTAACATAAGTTGGTATGGAAGTGACGGTAAGACAGCCATCTCTATGGATCGGAACTCTAGGGTTCACCAGCACAGAGAGATGCTTTGGTTTGTTCCAGCTGCAATAGAAGACTCAGGATATTATTACCTTGTTGAAAGGTAAGAAGTTTTTTGTTTTTGTTTTTTTCAGAAACAGTTTTCTGTTTTTGTTTTCCCCAGAAATTGAATGAAGTTAACAATATGAGTGATACACAAGGTGGCTCTAGCATGTTTGGGACCCCAGGCAAACATTTTTTGCAGGACCTCAGTCTATATAAACAATTTGATTAAAAACTGTTATAAAATTCATGGGTATATTGATCTATTATTATGTTGTAGTTCAGTTGTTTCAGTTGTATCCAAGTCTTTTTGTGTCCAACCCTTTTTGGGGTTTTCTTGGCAAAGATACTGGAGTGGTTTGCATTTCCTTCTCTGGCTTATTTTACAGATGAGGAACTGAAGCAAACAAATGACTTGCCCAAGGTCACACAGCTAGTGAGTGTCTGAGGCTGGATTTGAGCTCAGGAAAATGAGCCTTCTTGACTCCAAGCTGAGTCTGTGTCACCTACCTGCCATATATCATTATATTCTGATGCAAATTAGATTTAAAATTAAAAGTTAAAAGTATACTTTTTAAAAAGTAAATTTAGGGGCAGGTAGATGGCACAGTGGGTAGAGCACTAGCCCTGGATTCAGGAAGACCTGAATTCAAGTCTGGCCTCAGACACGTGAGACTTACTAGCTGTGTGACCCTGGGCAAGTCACTTCACCTCATTGCCTCTCAAAGAAAAAAAAAAGGAAATTTAAATTGTGTGAAATTATAATAATTATAATATATAATAATTATAATGTTATATTGTAATAATGATATTACATCATAATATAATTATGTTGTAATGATTATATTATTTTATTATTAAATTAAATTAATTTATCAAATCAATATAATATTAAAATTTTATTAAATTAACTTATTTTTATTATTAAATTAAACTTTAAGTATTAAATTTAAAACTAAAATTATTATTAATTATCATATTAATTCATATAAAATTAATAATTGTTAAATTATTTTTAAATTAAATTTATTAAATTAATTAATCTACATATATCATTAAATTAAATTTTTATAAAATTAAATTATTTTAAATTGAATCTTATTACTATTAAATTAATTGTTTTTATATTAAATTAAAATATTAAAATTAAAATTTTATTATTAAATTAATTAATTAAATGTTTGATTAAAAATACACTTCAAAAGTATTGAAAATTCTCACTCACTTCTTTGAAATATCTCATTAAATGAGGTCCAGGATTGTTTTGAAGGCCTAAATATACATGTGTAATTGGTTGATTATCTCCAACAAGAAACCAAGCAAATTCTATCTAGATCAGAAGCACATCTGAAGCGCATCATATATGTATTAATACTTGGTACCTTTATCATCTCATTGATATGTATTAGCATATCTAAAGTTGTGTCAGAAGGACAGACAAGAAAATCCACAAAGCAGTTAAATAAGGTCTAGGTTACAATACTCTGCAACTGGTGATTAGGATGTTTGGCAGGATTTTCATATGAATTTTAGTGAAAATGTTGTCTTGAAGATATTCTCCCCCTCTTTTTTTTTTTCAAATTAGTCTAAGGCTTTAGCTTTTGCTGGTAATGATGTTCATGCTTTTGGTGACCTTCTCAAAGTAACATGGCACAAAATCTAAAATCACATTTTAAATAATCATCTAATATAGAATGATAGCGAGCAGTGAACATAACTTTGATCCCAAATTATTTTTGTCAAGTAATTTTTTTAGCATGTTCCTCTGCACATTGATTAAATATGAGATTGAAAATATTTGATCTCTAGTTGCCTTTGTGCACTAAACATACACTTTTAAATAGCAGACTTAGATGTCATGACAAAAAATTTTGGGGGAACTGTAGGACACAATGTTTCAAAAGGGGATGATTTCATAAAATACAGACTGATTTGAAATGTATTAGTCCCTTAAGTGGTCTAAAGAATAACTTTCATAACCCAGGTTTCTTTGTGTCATTGTTGTAAAGAAAGTTTATAAAGATTTGGAGTCAGCTTCATAATACCTTTACTGGAAATTCTCCCTTCATACGCAAAAAAATCAGTATCAGTAAATTCCAGCTACTCACTGACACCTGCTGAAACATCTATGGGTTACAATAACCCATGTGATTCCTAGCATCCCAGTTCTGAGGGCATTCTAATCCAGTGATCATTAAAGATTTCATCCCCCCACTAGCTATTCACAAGACTATTTTTCCGATGTTCTAGGAAAACATGACACCTCACAATTTTTGTGCTCATGGCTGCTGAGTAGGGTTCTTCAAAGCACAGGACTCCCTCACTCTCATGCCGAGGGCAGGGACCCTGTTAGCCCAAATTTACTGGTAGGCCTGGTGATACATATCCATAGTAAATTGGGGAAAAGAGAACAACACCTGTAAAAGGATTTTATTTTATTTATTGGATGTCATCCAACAATTTTATTTTCATTGTAGAAATTCTACCCACTGCCACAAACAGAAAATCAAGATAGAAATCTTGAAGAAACATCCTGGAAGGTGTTATGATGTGCTATCTGAATATGAACAAAAATTGCTTTCAGGACCTGGTGGCTTTATTGTGTGTCCCCATTTGAATATTTTTGAAGATAAAAATAATAATCTACCTAAAGTTCAGTGGTATAAGGTAAATTCTTTCTTAAAGTAGTATTGTTACCTCCTCTCCCCCCCCATCTTCACCCCCAGAAATGAGTAGAACAATTTGGTGAAAGAAAACTGATTCATTGAAAATAGACAAAGTGGCAACTTTGCAAGATATTTATCATATTATTATGCTGTGTGATGACAGTTCTGAAGAAGTCTCTATAAAAGCTCAAATTAAATGGAGGCATAAAACTTCATAAACACAATTTGGGTATTCTACAAATGTATTTTAACTTTTGCTCATTGAGCCCATAGTTTGGGGTTTGTTTGTTTTTTTATTTTTGCATCTGTTTTTTTTTTTAATTGAGAGAAGGAAAAATTATGGGGGAAAAGATTATAAATTGATATGAGGGGAGTATTTGCTGTATTGTATACTGTTTCCTTTGCATGAAGTGGTGTCCTTGAATTTACTTGCTTCTCTCCACATTTAGTTTGACAGCACAGACGGGGTTGCAACGAAAGCCTAGATACAAGTTGAGTTCCTTTGAGAGCTACTGACATGGTTATTAGAAGTTAAGATTAGAATCGTCTTCTAGAAGATAAGAAATACAGCTTGAGTAAAACAACAAAGGAAGGAAGTAGCTTTAAGAAAGAAGCTATTAAATTGTAATCTCTAAGCTGGTTAGGAATTAAATAAATAAAATTGGGAAGAAATTCTTTCCCATTCTACCTATAAGTTTCAAGGGTATGCAAATCTAATTTCTTGGAAAGTCAGTAAATACTAGAAGGTGACAATATGGGGGAGGAGGAGAGGGAAATCAGGGATTAAAGTTACTCCTGTGGTATGGAGATATATATATATAATATATATATATATATATATATATATATATATGTATGTGTACATATGTGTGTATGTATATCCAGTCTTATTTTTCTCAATATGTAAATGGACTTATTTTCTGTATCTAGGATTGTAAACCTCTCCTTAACAATACAAAATTTAATGGACTAAAAGCTAATCTCTACCTGCGTAATATACAGAAAGAAGATGAGGGGCACTATACTTGCCTTATATCCTATGGTTATATGGGGAAGCATTATAACATTACTCGGTCAATACATCTACGCATTATAGGTAAGTGTCAAAGAATCTTAGAGCTAAACTAGTTTTGCTGTCCCATAGTCCAGATGATATTAAATATATTTAAGGAGGGTGACATGGTCTTCCATAGTTACACAGCCTGTCATTCTTCTTCCTTTATTTTTCATTGTCTAATGCTTAGCACTTAAAGGTCCATTGCCACCTTCGCAGCATGTGGAATAAAATTAACCATGTTCCAAGGGAAGAGAGTTTCCTTGGTGTCTGGGTGTTCTTGAAGGGGACAATGTACCCCAGAGCACAGCAGCTCCTGCTGCCTGAGGTTCAAGGGAAATCAAGCCTAATCTCATGTCTTAGACCAAGTCTTTCCATGTAGATGTCATTCTAGCAGCAAGGACTTATAGACTTTCCAAAAGTCTTAGACAAGGTCTTATACTGAGAGAACTGTCAACCGTAAGATAACAGGTTGAGTATCCAGTGGTTCTATTTTGTCATGTGGGAGAACAATGGATACAAAAAGAATACCAATGAATGGCTGTGGATTTGGGTAGAATTGTTACCCTAACCAAGCTTTTCAAGATTTTATAAAATTTGCTATCTCCCCCCTTTGTCTTCCCCTTACTATGTTGAGAATTCTTAATTATTTTCACTTGTCTTTATTTAGTCACCCCTCAATTACCTTGGTAATTTTATTTGCCCTTCTCTGATCCTCTTCAACCTCAATTTTATCTGCCTTAGGATAGTATAATAACCAGAACCACAAATGGCATTCTAGGCAAGGCCAGATTTTGAAGAAAGTGGCTACTTTGAAGCATTTTGCCATCTCTATTTCTTATGCCAGATATGGACATACCATCTTCCCAGTTTCCAGTTGGTTTATGTCACTCCCCTCCCCAGCTTGGGATTCAAGTTACAGCCTTCCAGGGGGCTCTAGCCCCTACTTTCCCCTAATAAGCCTTTATTCTCATCTCCTCCATCCAAAGAAATCCTTTATTCTTTCCCTCTCTGTCCTTACCCTTGTCTTTGCATGCACTTATAACTGCCTTAAGAGAAACTGCAGAGCTAGAGGTCTTGAAACACAAGGTCTTAGTCTGTCATTACCTGACACATTAACTATGCTTATCTTGTTATCTTGTCCATGAATTCAGTAGCATAAGGAAGGCCAAGCCCTAAGAATACCAATGGCTTTGGCTGAGTAATAGCACAGGGGTTTCTGTGCAATCTTGGTCTAGGCATGTACAGGCAGATTCGCTATCTCCTCCATGTCTACACCTAAACCCACGTCAACTACCTTACATTGCCTTTTGGCCAGGTGTCATCTAGCCAGTTTTGTGAGGTAGGTAATCCTTTGAAACTCCTCTTACTGTAATTTGGAGCCTTGAAATTACTGTGAAAAATATTCTTTATTTTATTTTATTTTATTAGGGAGAGAAAAGAAGAAAATGCCAGTGATTCTGACTCCAGAAAACAGGACAATGGAAGTGGAACTTGGTGAGTATTACCACCATTTGGTTTCCTGTCCTTTGTAATGAGCTAAAAACTCTCATTCATAAAGTGTATGCATTTTTCTCTCACATCAATGTATTAGAGAACATTTGAGGAGCAGCATCACAGAGTTTTTGAATGTTGTTTTTACAGGATCCCAGTTGCTTTTGGACTGCAACTTCACAGCTCAAAAGAATGACCTTCAATATTGGACTTGGAATGGATCATTTGCTCACAAAGAACCTAATATTACATGGTCTGAACTTTCGTAAGTGCTTCATCATTATGCAAATATAGAGGAAGAGAAATTTTATGTAAATTCTGTTGCTGTTTGTTAAACCATCAATATAATTTTCACCAGGCTAAGAAATGGTCAAAATTCCTTATTTTTTAGCATCTTAAATTATAGAGCACTAAAATTTAAAAAAAAAGATTTTATTAGTCATCTAGTCCAATCTTCTCATTTTATGGAAAAACAAACAAACTGAGAACTGAGAAATGAAGCTACTTAGCCAAAGTCATAAAGTTGGGTGGTAGAGCTCCCATCTCCTTATTCCAACTTGAGTACTCTTTCTGCTATATTATACTCCCTTTTAATTTACCCCTACTTCTTGGTGGAGAATGGAATTCCTAAGACTAAATATTGGCCTTGGTAGAGAGTGGACTCACCAGGTAAGATCATCCTCATCAGAATTTAGGGTATTCTGAAGCTCCAAAGCCAGGAATATGGGGAGCCTTGATGGTATTCAAGTTCCATTGTAGTTAAAATGTAGAGACCTTTATACAGGCTCATGCTGGAGCTGGGCAACTAGATAGCACAGTGGATAGTCAGGAAGACATCTTCCTGAGGTCAAATCTGACCTCAGACACTTACTAGCTGTGTGATGGTGACTTGCTAGTCACTTAACCCTGTTTGCCTCACTTTGCTCATCTCTGAAATGAGCTGGAGAAGAAAAATGACAAACCACTCTGTCTTCTTTACCATGAAAATCTCAAAGGGGATCATGAAGAATTAGATACAATTGAACAGCAATAATGACACATATCTTACATAGGGTTACATAGGGTTGATGTAGGTAAAATTCCACCTAAATTGTAAAGTAATCAATACTTGAGAGCTATTATTGTTACTTTTGAAAAATTGGGCCCTTAGATCCACAGCTATTCCTGTGTCCCTGCTTATCTCTGTTGGACTGAGTTCTCTTTAGTGCCCACACATTTTTTTCTGTATAAATGCTGCTTACCATATTGTGTGGAGATCCAAGTGCCTCACTGCATATGTGCATGGAAAATCTTAATTGCAAACTTGATATATTCACTTTTATCTTGGCACCATAAATTAGACTTTAATAGTTCATCTCCAATTTAAACTCTCTTGTTCTTTTCTTTGGGCTTTTTTCCTCTCCTTCAAGTTAGGATTATTCAGTTTCATTCCTTCATCACCGAGAAAGCAAAAGGAGTTTGGGGGCCTCATCTATTCGTAGCCTACTAAACTCCACTCTGTCTACAGCTATCTGAACTTACCAGCTTCTTCAGAGTCTGTTTCTTATAGAAATCCCTTTGAATTCATCTTTTCTTTTTCTTGGCATCCCACCCAAGCAGACATTAAAGAGAAACTTTCATGTCATCTCCTCCTTGATCCCTGTTCCTCATCTGCTCCCTAGCTTTCAAACCTTTTATGGCATTCCTAATTTTTCCTAACCACAACGCTTTTTTTTCTATAGCTTCCTCAGCTTCCTTATACTCTCTCTTTTCTAATATATCTCTACTAGCCTTCTATATTTCCTTCTATCACTAATTCCTTCTCGATGGTCTCATCATCCAGGACTTATCAGCATCACTCATCATCCTCTTAGAAGCTTCTTTGTCTTAGGATGTCATGAAACATGCAGTATAGTTTCGTATGACCCAGACAGACTTTCTTGCATTTAAGGCATTTGTCATAATATTTTAAAATTGGAAAGGAGAGGAAGGTAGAATTTATTGGTGAGACATTTGAGAGAGGGAGTGAGTGGGAAGTCACAATCTTGTACCTGTTACAAAAACTCTGCTAAGAGGTCCCAAAATTGAATATTTTAAAGTTCTAAATAACTTAGAAGTTACTTAGTCTCATCCTCCTGCCCCGTACAGAAATCCCTTTTTCATACCTCTGAAAAATAGTTATCAAGCTTCTGCTCAAACAGAACTAGGGATGAGAAATCTCAACCTCACAATGTAAATAACAGCATGAAAACTTTGTCACTACCTATGCAGCAACTTAGTGAAAAAAGAGAAACCAAATAAATTGAGATTACTTGTGTTGAGGTTTTTTAACTAGCCTTATTTTTTCTCTCTTTCCTGAATAGAGTTCCGAATTTAAATGATATGAACATTGTCACAAGGGTTTCTAGGCTTGTCATTTTAAAAGTGGAAAGTAGGCATTATTTGTACCCATTTTTATGCTGGGTTACCAATGAAGCTGGTATAGCTACAACATATATTGCCTTGAGACCACCAGGTAAGCAATTCGTTGTTTATTGAAACTACAGTTATACTGTATTGTGCTAAGCTCTCCACTTAAAAAGGAGAATAATGAAGTTTATACATCTCAGTGACAGATTGTCTGGGACTCTGAAATAACTCAAAAAGAGAGCTTTTGTCTGATCTGCTAAATGTACCTATAATGATGTTGGTTTGTTTGTGATTTTAGTGAAGGATTTGTGTTTCTGAAGTTGGACTCCAACTGATCTCATCAAAATGAATGTTTCATTCATCTTTTTGGGAGATTAGGTGTAGTAGTGATAGAAACTGAGTAGGACCCCCCAAAAATGTTTTTAGAACACGTACCAGGAAAATATGAAGAGAAAGAAGGCTTTTATGCCTTCAGAATGCTAGACTGTGTACAACTTCTCCATATCTCTACACCTACCCTTCTTCCTAGGTGAAAGAGGAGTGATTGAGTTAATAGAATATGTAAAAGACCATATTTGAGTACTGGGATAAGCAGTGTTGTTATTAATTGGCATTAATTACAGCTGGCAAAACTGGTACCTGAATTAAGCTATGTTTCAACTGACAAGTTTTCTCCCTCCAAACTAAAGTTTTAGTATAATGGCTATATTTTTATAATGGCTATATAACATATTTTTATATAAAAAGCCTTTTTATCATGTCCTGAAAGTGATCCTGGGTCCTCAAAGGCTATGTCATCAGAGTACAAACTTTGGAAAGTATCATCCTGATGCAAAGTCTTTAAGCATGGACCCTGAATTTGAGCACCAGGCTTGCCAAGTGTATACAGAAGGTTGACTACAACATGAGGTTTGGTTTTTGGGGTTTTTTTGGACACAATAATTCATGAAGATTTTCTGTTACTAGCAAGATGGATTTATGTTTTAGTTCAATACTTTAAAATCTGTGATTTCTTTGGCATGCAAACTCCATTCACTGATGCAGAGCAAAATCTTTCCATGAATTAACAGGTGATCTTTAGTGGAGAATTACAGATAGAAGCATTGGTAATTATTGCATAATGGAAACAAGAGATTTGACATTGTAAGGAACTAGAGAAATTAAACCTGAAGACTCTGCTTCATTCAGATGTTGTTGATGATTCTATGTTTAAGGTTTGATTACTTCAGGTTTAATATTTGCATTTCCTTCCTTTTCTGAGGTAGTCTCAGATTCCAGAATGTACCTGATTGGAGGATTCATCTCTTTGGCCTTAGTAGTTACGTTCTCCATGTTTCTCTACAAAATTTTCAAGGTTGAAATTGTGCTTTTGTATAGGGATTCTTGCCATCCATATTTCCTGAAAAAAGGTAAATTATATTTTTTCCCTGTTCAATATTATTTTTTGAATATTAGTAAATTGGACAGGGAGGTGACTGTCAGGTTTTTGTTGTTGCTGCTGGTTTTTTTTTTTTTCAATTGGTAAAGTCAGTTGTGGTCCACGTTCATGTGACTTACAGATAAGAATATCTTAATAAGGATTAAGTTATATTACTTTGAAGCTATGTAATGATGTCATTTTGTGCATAGAATCATCATATCAGAATAAATCATACTGCTAAAAACCATTTTAGCCCAGTAATTGAAGTTTTCTCCATCTTAAACCTGCTTTGTTGGGGTAGGAGTGTGGTTATTTTAAATAGTCCCTCATGATCTCTGTGCCTTCCTGAGGAAGAAATTAACAGATTTTGGGGCACCCCAGATGAATTAGATTTGTTAAGCATCACTGGGGGGAAAAACCTCTAATCACTCACTAGTCTACTTAAAGGAGAGGAAGGTAGAATTTATGGGTGAGACATTTGGGAGAGGGAATGAGGGGGAAGTCACAAGCTTGTATGTGTTATAGAAACCGCCAAGGGGTCACAAAATTGAATTTATTTTAGATCTCGGGTTAATTGCATCACAATGTTTATACCTGAAGTAGAAGAGGGTTGATGCACACATATTTTCTGCCATTGACATTTTATTATTAAAAAAATGAATTTTAAAAATAAAAATAATATATTATAATTTATGTATTCTGAGTGTTCTCCATGATGACAGAACACTTTGGAAAATCTTCTGAGCTATCTTATTTACTTCTTTTTTAAACTCTGAATCAGTAATTTTGGCTAGGATGGCCATAATATCTACATGCATCATGTTAAATGCAGTGGTACAAAAATAATCACATCAATTAAAATACTCCCCTCATATCAATTTGGCCACTGTGGGAAAACTATGCCTCCAATTTGGTGGCTTGACTATTTCTAAAGAAATTGGGATACTATCTATATTTCCAAAGTACATTTCCATGCTAAGAAGATAAAGGACTACCGTTTCAACTATTACAACTGAGCCACCAAATTGTCATTAAGAAAACTTAATGACATTTGAATAATTAAAGAGACCTTTTGTGGTGGCTATTATTTTATTTACATTATGGTTTCAAAAAACTACCAATACTAATTTGGAAATAGAAGTTTGTGATCTCTCCTTTGTCAAGGCCAACTTTTTGAATGCTAAATACATTATATTTCATCCTTTAGCTTTGGATGGAAAAGTCTATGATGCATACATATTATATCCAAAATATTTTGAAGAAGGGTCCAGCTACATCTCAGACATCTTTGTGTTTAAAATCTTGCCTGAAGTCTTGGAAAATCAGTGTGGATATAATCTGTTCATCTATGGAAGGGATGATCTTGTTGGAGAAGGTATGTTTAAAATGAGGGAAAGAAGAACTTTCTAATGACTTATGTAACAATTTATATTTCATAGAGTCATAGATCTACTCCTCCTCCTCCTCATTCTCCTACCCCTTCTTCTTCTTGTTGAGTAATTTTTCAGTTGTGTATGACTCTTTGTGATCCCATTTGGGATTTTCTTGGCAAAGATACTGGAGTGGTTTGCCATTTTCTTTTCCAAATCATTTTACAGATGGGGAAACTGACTTGCCCCAGGTCACATAGCTAGTAAGATTTTGAGGCCAGATTTGAACTCCCAAAGTGGAGTCTTCCTTACTCTAGGCCAGGGGTGGGGAACCTGCAGCCTCAAGGCCACCTGTGGCCCTCTGGGTCCTCAAGTGCAGCCTTTCCCTACCCTTGCTCAAGGTTCAGCACTCTATCCACTGTGCCACCTAGCTGCTGCCACCACCACTACCACTACCACTATCATTGCTACTATTACTACTGCTATCACCATACCACTACCTAGCTAGCTAGAATTCATATGGTGCTTTAAGATTTGCAAAATACTTTCCATATGTGATCTCATTTGATCCTTATAACATCTTATCAGGTAGATGCTAATATTATCTCTATTTTACAGATGAGAAAATTGAGGATTAGAGAGGTTAAGTGACTTGCCAAGAGTCACAGAGCTTGTAAATGTCTGAGAGAGGATTTGACCTCAAGCCTTCCTGACTCCAAATCTATGCATTGCATCAGCAGAAAGGCAGTTGTTGCTGGATTATAAAATATATAGAGGGTAGAGAATGGATTGGAATAGGTAGAAGGTTAAGGGAGAGAGACTAACCAGAAGGTTATAGCAATAATCATCCAGGCAGGAGATGATGAGAACTTTCATTAGGGTGGTGGCCATGTGAGTGGAGAGAAGGGGAGGAGGTGAGAAATGTTATAAAGGAAAGAATGAAAATACTTGGCAACAGGTGAGATTAGTGGAGTGAGTGTGAGAGAGGAGTAAAGGATGACACTGAGATTGTGAGCCTGAGTGACTGAGATGAGAATGCTTATCTCAGTAGTAACAGGGAAGTGAGGAAACATGAGGGTTTGGGACAAAAGATAATGAATCCTGGTTGGGACATGTGGTGTTTGGCATGTCTACAGGAAATCAAGTTTTATATGTCCAAGACAAAGTTAGAAACGTGAGACCGCCACTCAGGAGATTTGGGAATCATCTCCATAGAAAAGATGATGGAACCCATGGGAGCTGATGAAATAACCAGTGGAGATAATATGCAGGGAGAAGCTGAAAGGGTAAAGTCAGAATCTTAGGAAACACTCACTTAGTTGGCATGACCCGGTTTCAGAATTAGTTGGTGGTGCAGTAGGTGGAGTGCTGGGCCTAGAGTCAGGAAGACTCGTCTTCCTGAGTTCAAATCTAGCCTCAAACATTTACTAGCTGTGTGACCCTGGGCAAGTCACTTAACCCTGTTTACCCCAGTTTCCTCATCTGCAAAGTGAGCTGGAGAAGGAAATGGCAAACCACTCCAGTATCTTTGCCAAAAACCCCCCAAATGGGGTCATAAAGAGCCAAACATGACTGAAAATGACTGCACAACAATAGCAAAGGAAATTAAAAAGGACCAGTCATGCAGGTAGGAAGAGAATTAGGAGAGAGATGTGACCTGAAAATCTAAAGAAGAGTATCCAAGAGAAGTTGGCGGTCGACTGTCAAAATCTGTGAAGACTGAAAAAAGGATATTAGATTTGTCAGCTTAAAGTCAGAGGGATGCCATTCAGCTAAATTTAAAAAGCATTTTAAGTGCCCTCTGTGTGCTAGGCACTACGCTGGAGATACAAAAAGAAATTAGAATTATTCTGTTTGGCCTTGGAGGGAAGGATTAGAAGCAATGAGTGGACATTAAAGAGAGGCAGATTTAGGCTGGAAGGAAAAAAGTGAAAAAACAAACCAATAATTGAAGCTATCCAAAAGTGGAATGGTCTGCCTTAGAGGGTATAAGATTCCCTCTCACCAGATGCCTTCAAACAAAGACTAGATGGTCTCTTGTCAGTAAGGGTTGGACAAGATGATCTCACAGAGAGATTCTTTCTACTCTGATTTTTTAGGATATCCAGACATGGTGCTTTGAGGAAGGAGAGGTTATTGCTTTAGGTTGGGAGGATGGGGTGGGGGGGGAAGCCTTGCCAGATGAGAAGGATTTTTACAAGTGAGAGATAAGGCAGTATATTCTAGGCGTGGGTGAATGATATGACTATGCAAAGTCAGAATATGGCTGCATAAGGTGAAAAAATATCTATCTAATAGTCCATTTTGACTGAGATTGTAAGGAGAAGTAACGTTCAATAAGATAGGAAAGGTAGGATGGAGCCAGATCAATCAGTCAGTCAACAAACAGTTTTAAAGTGACTATGTACCAGTCACTCTGTTAGGCACTAGGTATACAAATATACAAAGACAGAAATGAAAGAGTCTTTGTTCTCAAGGAACTTGCATTCTGTGGGGACAGATAATGGAGGGGCTTTGAGTTTGCATTTTGTCCTCTAAGCAGTTGGGTGTCTCATTAGATTGTAAGTTCCTTGAGGACAGGGACTGTGTTTTGTCTCTTTTTGTATCCCCAAAATTTAGTATGCTGAATATGCATGTCATAATAGGCAATTAATAAATGTTTATTGATTGATTAGTTGTCTTTTAGGCACTAAAGATTTTTGATTAGGAGAATGGCAGGTCAGATTACAAAGAGCAGTGGATTGCAAAGGAGAGAGACTGTAAGCAGGAAAAGAAAGATGATGACTTGAAGCTTTGTATACCATATCATACTTTGTATTTTTCAGATGCTATCATGGTTATCAATGAGAACATTAGGAAAAGCAGAAGACTAATTATTGTCTTAACTGGAGAGCATTCAAGTTACAATTGGCTGGGAAACACGTCGGAACAGCAAATAGCTATGTATAATGCTCTTGTCCAGGATGGAATTAAAATCATCCTGATTGAACTAGAAAAAATTAAGAACTATGGGAATATGCCAGAATCTATTAAATACCTCAAACAGAAGCATGGTGTCATCCAGTGGAAAGGAGATTTCATGGAAGAAGTCCCATCTGCAAAGACAAAGTTTTGGAGGTGCATCAGGTACCACATGCCAGCACAGCGGCAACAGTCTTCTTTCACAAGAGAACCCTCGGTTCTAGATTCTGTGCTGAACTCTAAGAAGAAATAGCACATGGCACTTTGAGCACTCAGGGAAACTCTCTGAAAGATTGCACAGGTCTCCTTACGTAGAAGCTGTCTGTTTGCCTTAAAGAATTTCCAGGTTGGGTAGATTGTTATGGTGGCTTTTCCAGTCATGAGAGCAGTGTGTGTGTGTGTGTGTGTGTGTGTGTGTGTGTGTGTGTGTGGTCATCACTTGCCACTGTGTGGTCACTTGGAGTTTTGTTTCAGTATTAAAGATGATCAAATCATTAACAGTGAAGGACTTTAGGTCAAGGATGGATGAGGGGCACAATGGAGTGAAGGAACAACAAAGGGAGGGAGAGGGGGAAAGGGTAGAAAATCCCTACATCCTTCCTTTAAAGCCAGCACTATGAAACACATCAGCATATGAAAGATAAGACTCAGAAAGGGGATATGCAGTAATTGAGGATAGATTTTAAAATTAGTAACTGTTCAGAAAAGATGGCTGGCAGACTTGATACCTAGCTTTGCTTCAGAGGGCAATGCAGCTAGAAATCTCCTCCCAAAATTGGGGTTTGTTTTGTTTTGTTTTTTTAACCTTGAACAAATGGCATTTCACCGAGGAACAATTTCAGAGATATCTTTGCATCCACTTTGCACTCGCTGTATCCATCACATTTCCTGCTAGCTGTCAGTTTCTAAAGAATCAGTGAGAATTTTATACTGATGCTTTTAATTACATTAGTGGTTAAAACAATTCTCTGGGATTGCAAATCTTTTAAAATGGTATTTGACTTTAGGTTTCTCTAGGGATAGTAACCTAAAAAAAAAAAAGAAAGAGACTTGTCTTTTACATCTGGGTCAAGATTTCACTGGAGCACAAAATAGTTTTTTAGAGGCAGGCCTCAAAAGAAATAAAAATACAAATGTACCTTAAAGAAAACTATATTTCTTCTTATACATTTATATACATAGAGATTTTAGAGGGGAGTCTCTGATAACCTCAGTCAGTCAGTCTTGAGGTACAGTACTTGTTAATAGCACCACATATAAAAAAGAAAGAGCAAAACTGTTCCTTTTAAATGCCTTCTAATAAGTTTTATTTATAATGTTCTGCTAAGTAGGTTGGGAGGACTCTTGGGAGTACAAGGAAAGTTAATTCTAAAACATTCTGGTTGTAACTTAGAAATAATGGGATAGTTTGTGAAAGAAAGGGAAGGGGAAGAAATAATTGGGGAAGAATGAACACTAAGATTTCTAAGAACTGAGAAGTGCAAGTGGAGAAGAGCATAACATAGGAAAGTTTAATTATATTGGCTTCTCAGGGAGGAAAAAAATTTAATTTTTCATTCTGGGGGAGCACCCTCTGCCTTATTGTTTTTTAATAAGCACATTAACTTCCCCCCTGTCTGGTTACCTCAGAAGACTACATTGTCCTCTCCATTCCATTTCAAATTAATAAGTTTTTTTTTATTGTACTTTTAGTTATGATGCTGACAACTTTAGTATAAAAAGTTCTTCCACATGTGTAGCAAGGTAACATCCTTGAAAGATGTCAGAATTGCTTTAGGACAATATGTGTCCTCTCATTCTACAGAAAAAAGCATTGCACAATATTTTTTTCAGTGTCAGACATTCCTTTTTGATAAACAATGTTGTTTATATGTTTCAAGATATAAGTATGTTTGTCCACTTGTTTGTGTAACTTCAACAGATGCTAAATATTTTTATGTATAAACATCAAGTTCATGATTTGCGGTAAATTTTTTGATTGGTTCCAATCCAATGTGTTTGTTTTCCAATAAAATTATCCTAAAACTTGCAGCTTTATTAAGAAATCTGATGGTCCCTGTTGTCTAAAAATCTGTTTCTTTCCTCCCCCATCTCTCTACCTTAAGTTCCCACTCCCAGGAATGAACTATAAAATAGAACTATGAAAAGTTTAGCCAGACTAAGAAGACCCCACACAAATGATAAAAACGGAAGTCAGAAGATATGTGTGCAAATCAATGGGCTATGAATACATTGACTTTTTAAGTTAGGTTGCTCTATTTGCTGTACAACTGTGGGTTGTTCTTTTTTTTTTGAGGGGAGAAGGGGAACATTTCTAGCCTCTTTGTGTCTTTGCTATGAAATAAAGTCAAGATGTGAATTTTTTTTGTTGTTGTTTTGTTTTGTTTTTTTGGCTAGGCAATGGGGTTAAGTGACTTGCCCAGGGTCACACAGCTAGTAAGTGTTATGTGTCTGAGGCCGAATTTGAACTCAGGTCCTTCTGAATTCAGGGCCGGTGCTCTATCCACTGCGCCACCTAGCTTCCCCAAGATGTGAATTTTAATACAGTGACATCCCACTAGTCTAGGACTGGTCCCTTGGAAAGAGGGCTGGATTTGGAGACGAAGTATGGAGCTTTGAATCTTGGCTCAACCACTTATTCCCTGTGTGACTATGGACGAATGAAGCTTGTTGATTTGTCTTCTATAACACCTCTTCTGTGCATCCCCTCCTCTCCTCTGACAGTGAAACCTCCCTGGTGCAGTCCCTCATTACCTTGTGCCAGAACTATTGCAACAGCCTGGTTGGTCTGCCTGCCACAAGTCTCTCCTCTCTCCAATCCATCCTCCACTCAGTTGTCAAAGTGATCTTTCTAAGGAGATCTTACTGTGTCCCTCCCCTACTCAATAAAATCCAAGGGCTCTAGGATGCAGGATCATCTTCAGGATCAAATATAAAATTCTTTGGCAGTCAAAGAAAGCCCTTCATAACCTGGTCTGTTCTTACCTTTTCAGTCCTCTTACATCTTACACACTGCATTCCCACCCTGACCCCACTAGCCTCCTTTGCTGTTTCTTAAACACCCTCCCTCCAAAAAAAAGACCCCTAACATTCATACAGCCTTACTATGTGTAAGTATGTGTTTACACTTAAACGCTTAACAATTTTCATCTCATTTGACCCTCATTTACCCTGGGAGATAGGTGCAATTATGATCTCTATTTTACAGATGAGGAAACTGAGGCAGATGGAGGTTAAGTCACTTGCCAGGGTCACATAGTAACACTCCAGCTCCTGACTCTGGGAGTTTTCACTGGCTGTCTCTCAAGCCTGGAAGACTTTTCCTTCTCATCTCTACCTCCTGGCTTCTCTGGCTTCCTTCATATCCCAGTTAAAATCCCACCTTCTGTAGGAAGTCCATTCTGATCCCTCTTAATTCTAGTGTCTTCCCTCTGTTTATTATTTCGTATTTATCCTGCAGGTAGCTTGTTTGTACAGCATTGTTAAATCCCTCTTTAGACTGTGAACTCCTGGGGAGCAGTGCCTGGCATATAATAGGTAGTTAAGTGTTTATTGATTGACTCAGGGCCTCAGTTTTCTCATCTGTAAAATGGGTTGGACTAGATAAGCTTTAAAGTTCCTTCTAGTTATAGATCTATAATCCCATGAACTCAGATTCGCTCACTAACCGAGCAAAACAAAAAGCCTGACCAGAAGGCTCTTTACAGGCCAGCTAGTTTCCTCTAAGACTTCAAAGTTTCCCCATTTTAAAGATGAGGAAATTGAAGCTTAGATGGTCTTATTCTAGTTCACCCAGCTAGCAACTTCAAGATTTGGGTTTTGACCCCAGAGATTTGGCTCCAAATAAAATACCTTTTCTACTGTAAAATGTCTCATGTAGCCTAGTTACTATGACCAGCAGTTATTAAAAAAAAACCCCAAAACCAAAACCCCCAAACCCCAAAACTTTGGTCACTTGTATTCGAAGCCTGAAAAAGATGAGAAGTAGCAAAGGGGAAACAGAAAGAAAAGGGACTATTTTAAGCAGGCCTATTGACAGCTGTGAAAAAAAGAGAGCTGGCATCTAGACAACAGAGAGACTGAAAAGCAATAAAACAAGATAAAAGAATCTAAGCACAGCAATTCAGGGTCATTTGTCACTGTATTCTAGCATAGCACAGAACATCATAATGTTAATTCTCTGTCATTAAGAAAATCAGCAAACCTTAATTAAAGGGCTATTTATTATATGCTAGGCACTGTGGTGGGTGCAAAGAATACAAACATCAAAGTGCCAACAATCCTACACGCATGGGGCATGTAATCTAATGGAAAGAAACAGTTATGTGCAATAGACTCTTTAAGAATTAAGGGACAATGGAGCAACTAGATGGCCCAGTGGAGTTAGGGATACCTGAATTCAAATCTGGCCTCAGACACTAGCTATGTGATTCTGGGCCAGTCGCTTAACCTTGACTGCCTCAAAAGAAAAGAAAAAAAAAAGAATTAAAAGACAAGGGGTTACCGTAAGGGTTAGGGTTAGAGTTAGGGTTAGGGTTAGAGTTAGAGTTAGGGTTAAAGTTGGAGTTAGAGTTAGGGTTAGGGTTAGGGTTAGAGTTAGGGTCAGGGTTAGGTTACCAGGGGCAAAATCAAGATGACAGAATAGAAAAAAGCACTTAGCTCTCTCAATATTCCCAATCAAACAACTTTAAACTAATGCCTCAAATTTAATTCTGGAGTAGCAGAGCTGACCACTGGTTAGTATGGGAGATTCTTCTTGCCCGAGTATTATCAGGAGGTCAAAAATATACATCTATTACATGAGGGTGGATGCTCACTTGAAGCCCACTGCAATGAAACACCACTGGTGGAACCAGGTATAACAGCACCTTTGGGAACTCTCAAGCCAGAGATGGTAAGGGTACCTGGCAACTGGCAACTGGTCAGAAACATTATAGAAGACCCTGGTGCTAGCAGTGAATGCACAACCAGATGCTGTTTGTCACCTGTATTTCCTATACCCACTTCTGGGTCTCAGTTCAAAGGTGGAGAGGAGTGCTTTCAGTCAAGAGGGAGTAAGGACCCTGAGGAACCTTACTGAATGTAATCCTAAGAGATCAAGGATCCTTCCTGGGTAAGGATCAGAATGCAGGCTGGGAAAGCAATGACTACCCTTCTCCCAGGTGACACCACCTTGGAGGCACCAAAAAGTTCTAACTCCCCAGAACTAGCTGTGAAAACAACAGCACAAAAAAGCCTAAAGCTTGAAACTGCACTCCTCCCCAACTCACCGTGATGGGAACAGAGCCCACCATTAACATAAAGTTCAAAATCAAGAATTAGGGTGGAAAAGTGAGCAAACAATAAATGAAGAACCTGACCTTAAAAAGCTACTATGGTAACATGGAAGATCAAGACACAAACTGAGAAGAAAACAATGAAGTCAAAACAACTAAAAGCAAAGCCTCAAAGAAAAAAAAAGTGAATTGGACAGCAGCCCAACAAAACTTTTGGAAGAGCTAAAAAATTATTTTCAAAATCAAATAAGAGTGGTAGAGGAAAAATTAGGTAAAGAAATAAGAGCAAAGGAATACAATTATGAAAAGATAACTAATAGTTTGGTTAAAAAAACAGCACAAAAAATGCTGAATAAATAATTTCTCAAAAAGCAGAATTGGCCAAAATGAAAACAGAGGTATAAAACCTTACTGTAGAAAATTGATTTTTTTTTTTTTAGGCAATTGGGTTTAAGTGATTTACTCAGGGTCACACAGCTAGTAAGTGTCAAGTGTTTGGTCTGAGGTCGGATTTGAACTCAGGTCCTCCTAACTTCAGAGCCCAGAAAATTGATTTCTTAAAAATTAGAATTGGGCAAGTGAAAGCTAATGACTCCATGAGACATCAACAAACAATCAAACAAAGTAAAAAAAAGATAGAGAGAGAAAGAGAAAAGTAGAAGAAAATGTAAAATAGCTCACTGGAAAAAAAACTGACCTGGAAAATAGATCAAGGACAGATAATTTAATAATTATTGGACTACCTGAAAACTATGATAAAAAAAAAAGCCTGGACATCATATTTCAAGAAATTATCAGGAAAAAGCATCCTCATATCACAACAACAACAACAATGATATTTTGAGAACATAATTAACAACCTTCAGTGAAGGATTAGCCCTTATGAATGAGATGTATGGGCACTGTAGGGCTCAAGCAATTAAAGATTACAGTCATATGGGCCAATTGGAATGAGTGAATCCTTGACTTTTGTCTTCATGCCTGGAAAAAAGGTTTTCTGCCCAAAATCTATCATTGCAGGAAGAATAAAATTCTAGAATTGATCATTTCTTTTCCTAATTTTTTTTGCAAAGAATTTAGGTGATATTAAGATTAATTGTTCTTTAAATATTTGACGGAATTCACCTATGAATCCAGCTAGTCTTCCTTCACCCCAATCCCCAAAAGGAGGTATCCTTTCAAGGTACTTTCTATCTTTCAGATTCTGTTCCCTATGGGATAAAATTCTATGCTCTCAGAAAATCTGTTTAAATTAGAATAATTTCCCTTTTACCAAAATCTGATTACTTTATCACATGTGAAATATGTTTCCACTGACAAAGGAAAGTCCCATTAAATTAAACAAGACAAACTTGTTCACCTTGTCTGTGCTAAAATGAGTAGTTGTTAAGCCAGTTTTGAAACCTGTTGAACCTGTGCAGTATTATAGAATTCGGCTGATATTTGAAAGCCTACCACTTAGTTGCTGAGAATGTTGATTTGTTTACTTCATGAAAATTGAATGAATTGTTTTTATAGAATCATAGGACTGAAAAGAATCCAAAGAGATCATTCCCTGTGAACTTGGTCAGAATTATATATAAAGAATTCCTAGGGGCAGCTAGATGGCACAGTAGATAGCGCCCTGAAGTCAGGAGTTCAAATTTGGCCTCAGATGAAATACTTGACACTTACTAGCTGTGTGACCCTGGGCAAGTCATTTAACCTCAACTGCCTAAAAAAAAAATCCTAGAAGTTTATTGTTTCTCCTATTCTTAAATATTTTCTAAGAATAAGATTCCTCCATAGTTTTTCTTGATAATATATTTATATGTGACAACTCTCACAGACCTCATTGACTTAGTTCTGCCTTCTAGCCTTTATTTTAAACTTTTATTCTCACTCTAGAATACTTCTACCTCCTCTCCAAATTTGTAACACATTCTTTTTTTCTGTTTTCAAGTATTACAATAGTAATAGCTACCATTTATAAAGTGTTTTAAATTTGTAAAGTGCTTTAAAAATATTGTCTCATTTAATCCTCACAATAACCCTGTGTGGTAGGCACTATTATTTTCTACATTTTACAAATTTAGGAACTGAGAGTGG